TCAAATACACTATAATTCTGTCTACTGAAATTCCTTTTTGTTTCAGCCAAGTACTCTTGCATTTATTAGTTTATAATAATGTTTGTGATTTTTTCTAAAGTCCTTTCTATTCAAGAAAAAGAAGGCAATTCCTATGTCAGAGTAACCAAGGTGGTTGAAGAATAGGTATTAGCCAGAGAAGTCTGGATGGTCAAATCAATCTTCTAGCCTCAAGGAAGCTCCATGAGCACACAGGAATGCTACGTCACATGGCTTTCCTGCACTCTAATTCATTCTTGACTAGAACCTGTATACCTGTTTCAGGGACATTTAAACTCTTTTTTTTTTTTTTTAAAGACCAGATTTCACCATGTTGGTCAGGCTGATCTTGACCTCCCAACCTCAGGTGATCCACCCGCCTCTGCCTCCAAAGTGCTTGGGTTACAGGTGGGAGCCACCGTGCCCAGCCGGACATTTAAACCCTTAAAGGATTTCTTATGATCTCTACTAATACATTAAGAAGAATGCAAACCAGTGCCCTTTTGTGTACTGAGACTTAGAGTCATGTGATTAAAACAGGTAACATGAGCTCTGACTTTACAATGTATTACAGACATAAATGCTCTAAGCTAGGAAAGGTTTTCCACATCCACCATCAAAGATGGGAGCCTTTTATTCCTCAGAAATCATCTCTTTTTAGGTCATAAAAAAGAGTACAGCTGCTGCAGCTCATGATGCAGTGTCTTCATGAGCCCAGAGCACAGAAAAACCCTAAAAGAACTACCATAGCGCAGCGCTCATTCTTGGCACGGGAACCAATGAACTACTCTATTCTGCACATACCAGCCAGAGCAGGCCGCTTTCCTCTTCTGTGAGATTTTAAAAGCTCCCCAAAATGTTATTACTCCCATTTGCAATACACAGAACATGGAAGAAAGGCTGTTTCCGGTTCTCGGCCTTTCAACAACTCTAAATGTCAGTACTCACAGTGGCATCTTACAAAGTAATAAACAGTGTGCACGTGAGGGCAAAGCACATATTGAGCTAATTAAGAGCTCACTGTAATTAGGATTTGATCAAATATCATAGCAGAACATAAGCAAATTGTATCTGAATTCCGTAATGAATACATATGCTGCAATAACATTAAATAACCATGGCAGCCTATTCCAAACTAGCGAGAATAGTTTTGTGCCAATAGTGGGTCTTTGTGTGTTTGAACTCCCACCACGTAAGGGCAAACTCGATAGGCATGCTAATGACCTACGATTATCAAATTTAAAATCAAAAATTCTAAAAAATGCCAGAGTGAACATCAGTGAAAGCCACACGAAGACCCACTCTCCTTTAACTTTTTACAAATAAACTGTAGATTAGAAACACAAATCATCATAAGTAACTCTAACATTCAAATGAAGTAAACGTGTAGAAGACTAACCCTATAACTTTGTTCGTTTGTAAATTTCTTGGCCAGCTCTTAGCTGATCGTGATGTTTACCCGCTCCTTCGCCCACAGCCTGGTAAAAGCATGGCATGGAGGGACTGCTGCCCAAGGGTCAGTGTTGCTGGCTGTCCCACAGCTCACAAAGCCATGTGCCACCTGCTGTGCAGTGGGGTTGTGGTGTAGCCTCCCTCCTGCAGGCTCCAGGCTGTCGCTGTCATCGTCCAGGCTCACCTCAAAAAATTCTTTGGAGACAGGGAGGTGGGGATCTGAGCGCAGTGCCAGCCTTCGCTGCTCCTGCCTGCCCACCCCACCTGAGGGCTCTACTCACCATCCTTGTCAGCAGCACCAAGCTCCTGGGGGGCTTGTTAGCAGGGTTCTGGGGCTCCTGGTCTATCATAAGCTGAAACACTGGCTCCAGCCTATCCAGCAGCTTCACCTGGAGGAAGGGGTGCTCAGCTGCCACGCTGGTGCTGGCACCCATGCTCCTGCCAACCCCATCCCCCTCAGCCCCGAAGAAATGTTGCATGCCTTACCCTTGTTCCCTCCTCCTCTTGGGTAACGTCCTCCTTCTCCTGGTGCTGGGAGTTTGGTGCTGCCCTCTGACCCTCAGGTCGTTTGATGGGCTTTCCTGTGGGAGGACAGGCTCAGACACTGGGGCCCCTCCCACCACCCTGCAGCTCCCCCTGCCCTGCCTGGCCTCCTGCTCACTTATCATGTCTCTCTCTCCAGAGAGCTGGATAAATCCAAGTTCTAGTTTTTCCACCCACTCCTTCAGGTCCAAATTCTCCTTTACAATGTCCATGAAGTCTCTCTGGAGCCAAAATAATGGGGTCACATCTTGGTGGCGACCTGCCCCCTTCCCCACCCTCACCCTTCTTGGCCCTTTCCAGGACTCACTCACCTGCAGCTTGTTGATGACCCCCTGCAGGGCCCGCTGGGTCTCCCCACACCCAGACTCGCTCCCAGTCCCTGTGGCTGCGGCCGCTGCCTCTGGCTCCTTCAGGGCCGAGGCCCCCAGCTGAGCCTGGTGCTGGCAGCACACCTGTTGTTTCTGGAGCTGCTCACAGAGCCGTGCCTGCTCCTCCTGGGCACTGGCTTTAGCAGCGTTCAGAAATGGCACCTGAAGGCAAGAGGTGAGGGTTCTTGTAGAGGCATACACAGGACAGATGAGGCAGGGAGGTGGAGCACAGCCCCTTCCCTTGGGGCCTCAGAGGGTGCACCTGTCAGTCACGAAGGTGTCTGACCACCGGCTCCCGGAAGGGATGAGGGTCCAGAGGAATCAGAAGGCAGGGAAACCAAGAGCATAAGGGGGTCTGGGAGGGACCACAGAGGAAGGTGGCCTGCCCGGGCGCCTGGCCCCTGGCTCCAGCCCAAGAGACTGCCTCCCTTGCCTAGAACCCTGTGTCTCCTTCCAAAGCCTCAAATCTCACATCCTTCTTTCCACCATTTAAACTGTAGGCCACAGACTGCTGGAAAAGCAGAGGGAGCCGATCACCATCTGCCAAGTGTGCTACATGCCTAACGCTTTCTACGAATCATCTCATTTAATCCTCAGCACCCAAAGGAAAATGCTAACTTCCTTTGGAAGTTAAAGAAACAGAGACTTGGGCCAGACTTGGGATTATGGGCTCAAGCCTGTAATCCCAGCACTTTGGGAGGCTGAGTCAGGTGGATCACGAGGTCAAGAGATCGAGACCATCCTGGTCAACATGGTGAAACCCCGTCTCTACTAAAAATACAAAAAATTAGCTGGGCATGGTGGCACGTGCCTGTAATCCCAGCTATTCAGGAGGCTGAGGCAGGAGAATTGGCTGAACCCAGGAGGCGGAGGTTGCAGTGAGCTGAGTTTGTGCCATTGCACTGCAGCCTGGGTAGCAAGAGCAAAACTCCGTCTCAAAAAAAAAAAAAAAAGAAACAGAGACTTAGAGATGCAAAGTAGTCGAATGGTGACCAGTGGAATCAAGGCCAGAATCCAGTTTGGATCTAAGGAGACTTTAGTGTTGTTTTGTGACAGAGTGTCACTCTGTGGCCCAGGCTGGAGAGTCGTGGTGCAAACTCAGTTCACCACAACCTCCACCTCCCAGGCTCAAGCGATGCTCACGCCTCAGCCCCCTGAGTAGCTGGGATTACTGGTGTGCGCCACCATGCCCAGCTTTGTTGTGGTGGTGGTGGTTGTAATTTTAGTAGAGATGAGGCTTCGCCATGTTGGCCAGGCTGGTCTCAAACTCCTGCCTCAGCCTCCCAAAGTGCTGGGATTACAGGTGTGAGCCACCGCACCCAGCATAAAGAGCCTCTCACACCACTGTCTCTTGCCCTATGACTGGGGGTCTCCATGCCTCGAGCTGGGATGATGATGTCCAGACCTGGGAGGAGCCCAGGGCTACCCACCTCTAAAAGTCAGAGGGCGGGAAGCAAGAAACAGTTCCAGGATTGCCCTGAAGGGTGTGGGATCACCTGCCCCCAGGGTGGAGCTGCCTGTGGCCTTTCACCTCCCCTCCCCAGAGGCCGGTGCCTGCCTCCCAGACCTCCTGGATGGGGCCAAGGTTACAGTCTCCTATTCACCAATCTTCTCCTGCAGCTCCTTTCCTTCCTGCTCCCAAATGCAGTGCACTCCTGTTCTCATTGTTCTGGACAGAGAGAAGCAATCAGCGGCCACCCACTGCAGCTGGAGAGCCCAGAACTTGGTTTCTGCCTCCCATTTCACTGGGAAGGGTGGAGGCAGGTTAGAAAAATTGTCTCCTTTCTCCCACAGCCATCAGAGCAGGGCTCTGACTCACAGGGGCCTTTAGAAGCCCCATTTCAAGGGAAGGCTACACTCTCACGTTTTACAGGTGGGAAAACAAAGGCCTGGAGGGTTGGGGAGGAGGACAGCCTCCCCAGGTGGGCAACACACCAGCTCCTCCTGCTCCTGGAGCCCCTCCTGCTCATGAAGCCTCTCCTCCTGTTCTCTCAGCCTCACCTCCGCCTCTCAGAGCCTCATTTTCGCCTCCTGCAGTCTCTCCTGTTCCCGCGGCTCATCTCTCAGGTACTTGGTTTTGGTTTTTAGGTTTTTCTCCAAGTCAGAGGGCCCTGTGGGTGCTTCAGGATTGGGAGTTCAGCTGAGAAAGGAAGCAGACAATAAGGGCCTCTGGATTCTCAAAAAAATTAAAAAAAAAAACAAACTCTTCTGGGTGCACAGCTCCTCTAAAGCTCCCCAAACCTGGCCTCACTAATGATTCCTCACACCCAAATGGTAGCCAGTCTTCCAAGCCACTTTCAGATAGAGAGCACTGTGGTGGCTGACCATGGGCACCCTCCCTCTTTCTGATGGGGACACTGAGGCCCATGGAGATGACAAGACATGCCATCTCCCAGCATAGACCTCTCTCCCTCTGCCTCAAAGCCCTTCCAGCCACCCACCTCCCTGGGGCACTCTAAGCCACCCCCACAGCCCTCTGATACCAGTCCTGCTCCCGGGTCACGCCAGCCCCATCTTACCCAGAAGGTTTTGTAGGTGGGCAAGGCTCCCCTTCAGCTTCTCGATTTTCATTGCATCTTGACTTTTCTCCATTTTGAATATTTCAATCTGCCCAAAGAACAACGGGAAAGGGCCCTGGAGAAGGGCTGGTGGCTGGACAGGCTACCATCTCCCTCTCCGCCCCCAGCTCCACACAGCCCAGTCCTGTGACCACCCCTGGCTGGACTAGTCTCATTTTACAGATGCCCAGAAAGATCCAGTGACCTATCTAAGGTGGGGGCTGAAGGGTCAGCTCTCACTTCTCCTGCCATTGTGAGGATTTTCTGCTGCCACTGCACCTTCTGTGTTTTGAGTTGTTGAGCATAAGCGTCTCTTTCTGGCTGAGCTTTCTTAAGACACTCCGTCACCTGCAGGAATGGACCCAGAAGTTAGGAAGGGCTGTCACTGTCCTCACCTGCTCCTGGCCACCTGGGGTCATCTTCCTTCCACATCCCTCCCTCTGCATAGTCTCACCTCTGCCACCTGCGCTTTTAGCAGTTCCCGCTCCTGTAGAAACTGCTGTACCTGCTGCTCAAGGACTGCTTCACGGCGGGCGGCTCGAGGGCTGCACGGGGAAGAGCGAGAAGCTTCAATCTGGAGAGCCTGGGCCATTCCACACAGCGCCCCTTAAAAGGGCTAGGGCTGGGCTTAATACACAACTCGGTCAGTAAAGATCAAGTCACGTCCCATCCCGTGGTCTGGATTTTAAAAGAACTCAGTAAAGTTGGAAGGCACAGGGAAAGAGGCCACAATTACAGCTGGCTAACAGAGGCCCAGAGAGGTCACATCATATCCTATTGTTATTCCTGTCGTTACTACCGCTGTTGGAACCTTTATTGAGTGCGTCACCAGGTAGCCTGCGAACAGTCCCAGTTAACCTCACAACCACCATGAGGGGCGGTTACTACCATTACATTGTGTAGATGGAAAACATGGAGTATTAGAGGTTAGGTGGTTGCCTAAGATCACTTAGACAGAGCTGGATTTGAACACCCAGGTCCATCTGATTCTCTAAGTCCATTTATTTTCCTTCTGGGTGTGAGGGCACAGGCAGGAAGGGGGAAATGAATCTTTTGCTCACTTTTGGAAAGGATGATTCATTCACATAGTCAAAAACTGAGAAGGTACAGAAGGGAAGTATCTCCCAGCCACCTGTGCTCTCACCTGAGTTTTTTACAAATCCTTGCAGACATGTTTTATGTATATTATCATAATATGTACACACACACACACACACACGTTTCCTCTCTCTACACAAATCATAACATACTAGAGGTACTCTTCTGTACTCAGTTCCCCACCTAGGACTTGGCCAAGGCCACAGCCAAGTAAGGGCAGGGCGGGCATTTGCCCTCTGAGCTCTGCATCCAGTGCTGACTCCCCATAGCACCCTTCAACTCACCCACAGTAGCCCCAAGGGGAAACTGGAGCCCAGGATTGGCAGCATGGAATCAGGGGACCCCACTGGACTCTTACTAATAAGTCGATGGTGTTATTCAGTTCACTGGTTGTGACTGAGCTCGAGTCCAGGGCTATTTGTATTTGGTGTGCGCTCTGAGGTACATGTGGAGAGGAGTTGGAGGAGGACTGGGGTAGAGGTAGAGAGAACAATCATTACGGTTGGGGTGTGTGGGGCTGTCTCGGCTGGCAGAGGGGCACCAGCCACCACTGTGGGAGGAGGGTGGAGGGCTGGCCTGCAGGGTCACTGTACCTCAGCTCAGGGCCTCTTACCTCTGGATCTTTCATGGTGGCACACGGTGCAGGGCCCTCCTTGTGACCACCTGCTGCTGACTACAAGAGATGAGAGTGCACATGGAGATGTTCTGTCCCCCTCAGTGTCCAAGCCTCTGACTTCCTTTCTTCCCATCAGCTGGCAGCATTTTCTGTTCTGCCTCCCTAGGACCCTTTGTCCCATAACTCCTTTGTGACAGCTTCTCTCATTGTTGTTTTCTCCCACCATCCCACCCTGGGGCCCTTTCAGTGACTCTTAAAGGGACAGCCTGACAGCAAATGGCTGTTCTCATTGGGCTGGCTTCCCCTTGAGACTGGGGGTGAGGAAAACCAAACAGCAAGGACCATTTCCTGGGTGTCCTGGGTGTTTACAGCAGGCCATGTACTAGGGATTAACAAAACAACAGCAATAACGAATCTCATTTCACCCTCACAAATGGAAGTCAGACAATATCACCTCTATTTCACAGATGTGAAAGGAGAGACCCAAAAAGCTCAAGGAACTTGCCCTAAATCCTATCCCTAGCAGATGGAGAGGCGGGATTCAAACCCAGAATTCCTCAGCAGTACCCAGAAGTTCTTCCACAACCTTAACAATTACCCTCTACTGCCCCTTGGGCCCCTTTTCCCCAGAAGCCTGGCCGCCAAGACTCACATGGCATGGTGACTGGCAACCATCAGAAGCGGATGTCTCACGGCTACTGTTGTTTCTTTTCTTTCTTCTTCTCACTCGAGATGGAGCAGCAGGGCTGTTTCTTTGTTGAAATTCTTTTAACTGTGGGAAAAAGAGCAGTAATGCCCATGAGAACTACAAACCCCTACAGTCACAACCTACTTTACAGTTTTTACAAAATACTGTTATACACCCTCTGATTTAATGCCACCAACAACTCTATACTGTGTTGTCACAATCACTTAGTGACTGAGAGGGATTGATGTCATGACAAAAAAAAAAAAAAAAGAAGAGAGAAAGTAATACTAGAACTTAAACTCATTCCTCTGACTCCAAGCTCCGGGGTTTTGCCACGAATCAGCAACTGCCAGAGACCAAAACCACAGGCAGAGGTAGAAAAATCAACGTGAAGTAGGCAGGAACTGTAAGCTGTGTGGTTTAGCATCATAAAGCCTCACACGTCTGTTAGTGTTAAGAAGAGCACCAGTACCTCTCACACTTTTATATCAATGTGTCCTCATGGCAGAAGGCAGCCTTTCTGTTAAATCTGGGAATTCATCAGAAGGAGGACAACCCAAGTCTTATTGAGAGAGGTCTGGTATACTCTTAGAAGCCTATGTGACTGTCATCCCTAAGTACATTAATGCTTTTGCTCTCTCTAGAGACTCAAGGGAAACTGATGCTTCAGAAAGATGTCCCATGTTTATCCCGTGGCATTCAAAGTAGCCTGAGTTGCAATGATTTGAGGAAGATTCAAGCTGTCAGTTTCAATTTCCCAAGATCTGTTCCAAGATGAGCAAATCTCACTCCAGAGGCCAGTGACTGAAGGGCAGTCTGGTCCCAAAACCATGGAGAATTTGAAGACGAGGTGGAGAACTCAGAAAGTAACGTCAAAGTCTCTCTGGAGAGTAGAAGCCTGAGAGAAAACCAAACCAAACCCATTCTCCCATTGCCACCCAGAGACACTGTCAATGTTTTGAGCTCACGAGGGAAGTGTAGGCTTTTCACACTGTCAAGGTCTATGTTAAAGGAGTGGGCAGCCTGAAACCTCTCGCTCCTAGGTCCCATAGTCCACATTCCCCAACCAGCTGGAAATTTGTGCTGGGACCAAATGCTATGAGAATGCTTAGGGGACTGGGCGGTAAGATCAAAGGCTGGTTTTGTAGCAGGAATGATGGCTCCTAGGGGGATGGTGTCATCACTACATTCCACTCCTCCTGGTGGGGGAGGGGACCACATCAAGGACATGCCTGAGTCACTGCTCCACGATGGGGGAGGGGGACGCATGGCTGGGATTCAGGTCCTTGGAGATGCCAGCCCAAAGAGCACTGGGAGGTTGTGCTGGGGGAGTAGGAGGGGAGGGCAGAGTCTGCAGCAGGGATTCCCAGGAGTCACCAGCCCAAAGTCACCCAGAAATGATTGGTGAGGGTGGGGGCTGGGAGACCCAGGTCCTTAGAGACATGAGCCCACAGAGCCCAGGGAGGTCAGACATGGAGCAGGAAAAGGTGAGGCCCAAGCAGGGAATGGGGAGCCTCAGGAGTTACACATCCAAAGTCACCCTGGGGTGATTGGCAAGGGCAGGGGCTGGGCTCCTTGCTGAAGGGGTGGGACTCACTGAAAAGACGTTGGTAGGGAGAGCCCAGAGGCACCGGGTTTAGGGGCCCGCCCAGTCTGGTGTGTCTCAGAAGTGTTATGGACGCTGGCAGCGGTCTTGCCGTCGGAGGGGATCTGTGTGCATGTTACCTTTTTCCTAGCCGAGGCTAATTTCATCTTGCGATTTTCTTCTGACATCACCATGGTGGGTGGGGGAGGGAGGTGGGGTTGGGGAGGGAGGTGGGGTTGGGGAGGGAGGTGGGGTTGGGGCCACATCAGCACAATTCAAGGGAGCACTGGTAAGCAGTTCCACTCCCCTACCAGGCAGCTGTGTGTCTGAGACAGAGGAGGCGTAACCAGGGCAGCATTAGAATGTAGAATAGGGGCGTGGCCTTCATGTTCCAATTCCATTGGTCAGTGAGAAAGATGAAAGAGAAAGGAGGTGTGGCCAGGCAGCTCCAGATGGACCTGTGGCATCCCAAGGAAAGCTGCCCCTGCAACTCCTGTCCTCGCCCACTCTGAGAGAGGGGAGGGGCCCCCCACTCTGAGAGAGGGGAGGGGCCCCCCACTCTGGGAGAGAGGAGGGGCGGGCTTTTGCTTTTCAACCTTTAAATGTACCAAAACATGCAGCCCTATGTTTGAAGAGGTGACCCTATGGGGAGATGACAGTGTGGGAAACAATCCTGCCTAGGCCGAGGCCTCATGGAGCCCAATGTTCCCTAGGGCTAGGAGAGCACTGGAGCACACCCTGACAACCATTGGAAACCTGAAATCCACACCTTCAGGAGATCAGGAAAGAGGTTCAGCCTCCAACGCACCTGTAGCCAGGTGAGACAGGCACATGTGGGCACCAAGCAGATCTCCTGCCTGACTTTCCTCTCCTGCCTCCTCCAAGCAGAGAAGTGACAGCTGCCTATCAGCCATTGCCTAGATTGAAGCCACTGAATCTGGGTCCCAACAGGCCTGGCCCAAGGCAGTCCTGTCTCTGGTGAGAACATGGTAGACTGATGTGATGTTCCCAAGTGACTCTATAAACCTTATCGTGGATAATCAAGGAAATGGGCAGGACCATCATGCTCAGCCAAGAACCTGGCAGGCACAAGGGAAACCAGGGGCAGACAAAAGTCAGTTTGGTTCCAGGCCTTGCCCTGGAAGGATGGTGGACTGGGGGCAGCCACAGTGTAGGGGAATGGATGGCCATGGACAACATGGCCAAGGCTGTCAGCTCCTGCAGCACCTGCGGAACATCTGCCCAGGCCTGGCTCTGCACTCACGCTTCTGCCTGGAGCCACAGGTGCCTGGACAGCAGCCTGAAGTACGGATGGTGGAAGGAAAGGCACTGTGGCCACATGTGGGCACCTAAGCATGGGACAGAGGGGCATCCTGCCCCAAAGAGACCATACAGGCCAAGAACTTAAGTGGACGTGATACCATCAAGAAACCCCCTTGTCCTGGGTCATATCAATTAAGTCAGAGCCTGTCCTGACCCTGAAGCTGCGGCTCAGTCTAGTTGAGACTCACAAAGAGGTTAGTGCAGGGCAGGGGGCCCGGCCCAGCCTGCGACATCCAGCAAAGCTGTGTGCTGGACAAGGATCTCTGAAGGTGAGTCCAGGACAAGGACAGCTGTGCCTGGGAAGAGAGTGGGGGAAATGCCCAGGGGGCAGGAGGCCTGAGGACCTTTAACTAGGTGGGATGCCAGGACAGCATGTACAGAAGAGAAGGTGACATGGCAGCAGCTGTCTGAAGCCAGGCTATAAACCTAGCGGCTGCTTTGTCTAGTTGAAACCATGCTGCTGCCCTGCCACCATCCTTCAAATGCCAGAGGCAGGGCTGGGAAGGCCCCCAGACCCCTCTTCAATCCTGCCTCAAGTAGGTTCTCATGCTTCCCCAGAAGGAAAGTGAAATTTTCTATGGGTCACAGCTGGCCAGGTTCTCTGTCACCTGGTAGAAGGGGCAGGGGAGCTGCAGCTGGGTGAGGAAGAACCCAGGTACCAGAGCTAGAAAGGCTTTGGGAAAGCCTTGAACAGGGCCAGGACCTGAGCTCTGCCTGGCTATGGTGACTCTGAGCCAGGCAACCCTACGATGGTCTCAGTCTGTCACTCTGTCTCATGGGGGATGTCGGCATTATTACCTTTGGACTCAAAGTAGGTAAGCCAGGGAAACGAGCATTCCCAGTGTGAAGCCCGGGCAGCCGAGGCCCTTGCCCTTCAGGTTACAGGCATCTGGGTCCTGGTCTAGATCCTCGCATGCCATCCAGAGACCCAACCCTAGGGACAATTCCTCCCAGCTGGTAGCAGTGTCTCGATTCTTGTACTCCCACCAAAAGCTCTGAAATGAGGAGGCCTGCGGGTGAGGGTAAGACTCTTCAGGAAAAGGTCCTCAGTGGCAGGGAAGGTTTGAGCTGGGCCTTAGGGTAGCCAAAGGGGCAGGTGATAGGCCCCCTCACAAAGCATGCCAGGGAACACAGGAAGGACACAGGTGTAGCGGTGGGAATGTTCTGGAAGATAGCAGGCAGCCTCCCACTCACTGATGGGACCGAGTGAGGTCAGGTCCACACGCCAGAAGCTGGATTCCACACACAGTGCACTTTGTTTCTTGTTTTAGAGACAGGGTCTTGCTCTGTTGCCTGGGCTGGAGTGCAGTGGTGCAGTCATAGCTAACTGCAGCCTTGACCTCCTGGGTTCATGCGGTCCTCCCACCTCAGCCTCCTGAGTAGCTGGGACTACAGGTGCATGCCACCATGCCCAATTGTATTATCTGTAGAGACAGGGTCTTGCTCTGTTGTGCAGGCTGCTCTCAAGTGATGTTTCCACCTCAGCCTCCCAAAACACTGGGATACTGGGACAAGCCAGCGCTCCTGGTTCTGCTGCTGTATTTTGGCTGCCTTGGTGCACAGGAGGTAAGAGCTGGGGGGCAGAATCTGCTCCTGGACCTTTCCCAGGTCTGCACCCAGACTGACCCCTGGGCTGCAGGAGGCAGGTGTGGAGAGAACGCAGCAAGCAGAGCCGGCCAGCCAGTGATGGAGACCCAGGCTGGGACTAGGAGACGGGGCTCCAACCCTCAGCCTAGCAGCCCTGCCAACCCCTTGAAATAAATAAATAAATGACCTAGTCTCAGGTATTCCTCTGGAGCAATGCAAAACTGACTGATACAGCCTCCACGCTTGGTGTCCACCAGACCTGACCGCTCAGGGAAGGGCTGCTCTTGACTCTGCCGTTAACATCCAGACTACGACAGAGTTGTTCCCCTGCGCTGCCTCAGTTTACCTTTCTCAGCTGAGCAGAGTAGGGATAATTGCTTCTCATGTGGGCCACAGGACAAAACAAAGCCCTGAGTCCCATAGGAAGGTAGGTGGGCCGTGTCCAAGGGAAGACATAACTGGGGAAATATTTTATGTCCTCGGGGTGGCAGAGGGATATGGAGAAGATGCCTCTTTTGTGGGCAAAAGAGAAGGGAAGATAAACAGAGAGGTGCTGGACACCTGTCTCACCCTGACCTCCCCCACCCCACCCCAGGCCCATTCCCACATAGCCCCCAGCTCAGGAGGCACCGTTCTCCTTAGGGTCAGTGGGACTTCCAGGCTAAGCTGGGGAAGCTGACAGTCCGGATTCATCAGGGGCAGACGTAGTGTAAGTGATGTGCTGGACGGAAGTGGAGAGGGGACACGGGAGCCATGGTGTCAGTTCTGGGGCCGCCAACATGATAACTGCCCTGGTGATGGGCAGACCACGCTGCTCCACCCTGCCAGATGTGGCCTCTAATTCTAAGGCATCTGAGTTCCAGGCCAGGACTAGAGCCACACTCCCCTTGGGGACAGGGGACACAGTCTACACAGACTTCGCCTGTGCTTTGGGCCAAGCCAGCAGCACAAATGAACAGGAGGGGCCCTCCTGGAGAGTAGGAATGGGCCTGGACTACTCAGACCTGCCTCTGTGACAGGTCGGTCCCAGCCTTCCAGTCAGACTCCTGAGAAGAAAGCTCAGTCAGCCGGTGGTGGTGGTGGTGGTGGTGGTGGTGGTGGTCGTGGTGGTGGTGGTGGCATGGCCTGCAGGATCCCTGGAGTCTGTAGCCCCTCCCACCCAAGTGAGCTCCAGAAAAAAGATGCAGAAACAGCAGGTGCTTCTCCCAGCTGCCGGCTGCTTCCTGGTGTGGCCTCAGGGACCCCAGATGAGTCAAGATGGGGCTGCCAGCAGCTGGGGGCAGTGGGAAAGCTGGGTCCCCAGGATGGATGCCCAGCAGGGACATGCAGGTGTGGGGAGTGCTGGGTCCTCAGGGCTGAGCCCCTTCTGCCCAGGGGGCCTTGGTGAGAGGCCTGCTGCTGAGCTCTGCCAGAGGAGTCAGGGCCTGGTGGCAAGTAGCCTCTCTGCTTGCGAAGACAGTCCTGGGGTCATTACCCCTCTGCCCAGGGCTCAAGCATCCAGGCTGTGGAAGGGCCAGCATTCAGAAAGAAGGGCACTGTGGGTGTGGGCTCCCCAGCAGTCAGGGGCCTTGGTGGACAGAGCCCCCTAAAAGGGTGAAAACCCCCTTCTCACTCCACAGCAATGCTGTGAGAAGGAATTGTAGGGTTTTGTGGTGTGGACCCTCCCCACCTTCACCCTTGGGACACTCTGGGTTAAGTGCTGACTTTGGTCTCACCTCCCCGACATGCTCCTTGGGGCCTGCTGTGTCCCCACCCCCAACCCCAGGAGTCCCTCTCCTGGGCCTCAGCCCATGCAATACCCTTTGCCCTGGAGACTTCTTGAGGCCCCCACCTGGGACCCAGCCAGTAGACAGGAGGCCACCTGGGACCCTCGGGAGTCTCTGTGGGAGAGGTGGGAAAACTCTTAGGGGTGTGGGAGTGACCTTTGTCCTGCCAGTAGGAGGTGGAGAGCCCAGGATTCACTCCCTCAAGGGAGGCTGCTCCTCCATTCAAAACAGTTGCCAAAATGTAGGTGCCTCCTTCCCTGACCCATACTGAGGCAACCAGGCTCAAGGACAGGGCACGTGCCCAGGGAGCAGGCTCAGGTCATCCTGGAAAAGCAGCTCTGTTGATCCTCCCTGCCAAGCTCCAACCTCACTCAGCACCCAGGCCAGGGTCCCGGAGAAGAGCCCACCACTGCCGCACCACCCCTGCCTTTGGCAGTGGGAAAGGAAGAGCTGTGTCTCCGTTCCCGCTTTCACCTTCCAGAGACCTCGGGATGGCCGATGGGAAAGACCAGGAAGAGCCCAATTCCTGCCCAATTGTGGCCA